GCTGCTTGATAGCAAGTCTTGAAGCTAAAGAATTTTGACAATTGTGCAACGTTGCCAGATTAACCTCTAATGTGTAACAATCCACCGCAAAAATTCCCGCTTTTGTCCCCAAAAGCAACTTCCTGAATCAATTCAATTCCTTTAGAATGTACCTAACGGTTTGTTCAATTAATAAGAAATAATAAAATGGATAGTAAGAATAATACTATTTCAAATAGTATTAAAATTTTAGTAATAATAATAGTAATATGTCGACAAAAAAATTTTTTTTTACTAACAAATAATTTTCTAAAAAATTTTCGTTTTCTAACAATAGCAGCAAATTTTACTTATCCATTGAATTATTTTAACAACATATATATTATGTGAAATGACAAAATTATTGAGACAATTTTTATTTATTTTACTGTTAAACGACCACTTACTATTAGTAATGAATACAGAAACGTTACTTATGTTAAAAGAACTATATGTTGCGTTTTGTTAGCATAAGGATTAGCAATTAACTATCTCACTTTGAGTGAGACTTAAAACTCTTTTAAAAGATTCGTTGCATTCAATAATATTTAACTTTTATGTTTTACTAATGTTTTTAGTATTTATTTCATTTCTTTTAATACCTTCTTTGGGCAAAGGAAAAATTTTTTTTTTTGAAAAACAATATGAAGGTGCTTATTGTACAATGTTCTTTTCCCTTTTTTTTCGAAATTCTTGAATATCCTATCAGGCAATCTTATTGTCTTATATAACATAAAAGAAAATTTTTTTTTTCGTTTTATTTGTTGTCAAAATTAAGTTGATAGTTGAACATTTGAACATTACAATTTTAACAACAAGAACAATAATATATTGATAATTGGTAACCAAATAGTAGCGATAAGCAAATACCAATAATTTGGTAAAATAAAAATACTACTTATTGCGGGAATGAGGTATGCAGATTATCATTGTGGACCATTTAATTTGACTATATTTGATAGTATATTGAGTTTGATCCTTCACAATGTGGCAACCATGCATAATGCCTAGAGTCCGTCACGCGATTAGTTCACGGCGTCGCAAGGTATCGTGGTCCAGTCAGTCTTATCGTCGACGCTCTTAACTCAAGCTGGTGATTGAGTATTCCCTGTTTTACGCGAGCGCGCTTGGTTATCGTGAGTGGTGTAGTGTCTGAAAGTGAATTAAGTGTAAATTCGGATTCCCTTTCCTTTTATTATTACTACAAAGTATAGTATATAATTTTATTTTTTTATTATGTCCCTTCCTAACTTAAGTGTGTGTGATGTGGAAGAATTGGATTGCTCTAAGGCCTTTTCCGATTCTGAGCCCGATCCCATCGACGCGGAGGATTTTCAGGATACTCTTTGGAGGGCTGGAGTAATCTTCCAAATTTATCCCGAAAAGAGGCATATGGCCAGGAGGGGCAAATTGTTGAAGATACTCCTTACTGAGAACTCTGTCCGGAATAACGAACAAGGTGTTGTTGACGAGGCTTGCGGTGGTGCTAACTCCACTGCTACCTCTATTTTGTTGGAGAGGGAAAGACGAAAGAGGGAGTATGCCCAACGAGGCCCTTCAGTGGAAGCAGTAATTGGGCTGCTTAAATACAATGATGCCGTAACATCCTTTCGGATCTTATCAGAGCTGAATTCGACCCGAGGGTAAGTAAATTTTGTTCTTTGTCTTTTACTGTCAACCTTGTGCATATTTTTGTTTCTTATTTTAATAAAACATAGGAAGGTTACCTATGAAAATACAAGATTATGCAGGGTGTCCAGCTACCTTGAAAAGTACTGGAATTTTATGACAATACCCTGAAAATTTTAAATTCATAAAAGTGAGATTTATTTTCTCGATGTTTAAGTTGAATGCTCGTCAATATTTCAGTTATCTTGTTGAATAACAATATTCATCACGAGAATTCAATTATTTCAAAATCTTTTTAAATAGACCTCATTGCAAAATTTTAATTAGTGCCAAAATTTTCTTCATTTAATAATTTGTGTATCAATTATTTTTAATCGAAATCTCCAAAAGAATTCAATTGTTTTAAACAATTTTGATTGATGTTTCTTAAATCTATGTTATTTATATTTCTAATATTTTATCAATAAATTGTATTTAAAGTTGTTTATGAATAACTATTGTATGTATGTAGAAATTAATAAATTGTTTAAGTATTCTCTAAATTTCAATTAGTGAAAATATTTACCAATTTGAATCAGTCACCGACTTCCTGCTTTCTAACTTAGCAAATTTCACTAAAATTAGCAGAAATGATTATTTATCAGTAAAATTTACCCATTCAAAAGTAAAGGTCATCCACTAAATTAAATTAGTATTTAAAGTCAGAGAGTAAGTGAAAATTTTACTTGAAATAAAGTTATTGAGGAAAACTTATAAAGAGACTTACTCTATTAGACTTTACTATAAATAACAAATATTTTGAGGATTAGTACCCTAAAATGGACCTTAAAATAAATTATTTGGCACCTTGAAGACCTTGGATAGTCCTTGAAATTTCTTTTTTAAAAATCGCTGGACACCCTGTTATATTCTTAAAGTATCAGGGACTGAGATTTTATTCAGAAAAGTTTCTTGTAGAAGTAATTTACTATTCAGTTATTGAATTACTCGTGTAGCTTATAAATCTCATAAAAATGGAAATATGTACAAAATAAAATTCCTCTTTTTTTAATTACTTTCATAGATAATAAAATTCATTGCAAGATATTAAATAAAGGTTCTTTATACAATATTTCAATGAAGTTCCTCGATAAACGTAGTTATTCTTAAAATTTTTATTAAAATTCGTTAAAATAATCGAGTTATTTGAAATTTTGTTGAGTAAATTCTTTATGAGAATTCAATTTTAACGAACATTTAATTGTTCAATATTTATATATTTTTTTTTGTAATTAAATGATTGAATTCTTCTTGAATGTTTTCTGATAAAATTGATTATAATGAATTACCGAATAATTGATTTATTCGTTTATGAAAACAATTGAGTCGCTGCAACGAATCCCACTACAATCTTCTCCAAACAATTGAATTCCTGCGAAAACCGCCGTTAGTAAAAAAAAATAAAATTTTCTTTGAACAAATTTATGGTAATTCAAATTATAACAAAACATGAAGAACTTTAACTCCTACAGACGTACTAATGATTAAATATTTACTTGAAAGAAATCATTGATGTTTCGAATAATCTTATAATTTAGATAGGAACTTAATTTTATAAATATTTCTATCGTCAAAATCATCCAAATTCAAAAATTCTTTTAAAAAATTAACCAATCAATTAGAAACTGCATGAGAAAATAATTTCATAGAAAATTTACAGTTTACGTGTAAATTTTCCATTATTAACAATTTTCTAGTTTTTCTTTTTTTTTATTAAAAATATTAAACAGTTTAATTTTCTTTTTTTAATACGTCCATTTTCTTGGTTTCTTTGCTTTTCATTTACGATCATTTACAGTAGAGAAATAAAATTCATTTTAAAGAAAAATTGTATTTTGATGATTGAAAATTACTAGAAAGAAATAAAACTAAAATTGTAATAAAAGTTTCTTCTTGTGTCTGGTTGTGAACAGACGATAGGAAACAAGTTGCGTTCTTGATATGAAAGAATGAAGTGAGTGCGTTTGACAGCGTTTGACAGAATTGTAATTAATAATTTTGTGAATAGATCAAATTTAATGGAAATGATATGAAAGTTATCAAAAGTAAAAAAAAAAAAGTAAGTTATGAAAGTTATCTGTACGGTTTTGTAAGTAGCAAAATGTTCTTCGGTAACTCATTTCATTATAAATATTAAGGATTCCAAATATATTAAATATTTTAACTCCAAATTTTATACACAGAAAGGAAATTTTCTTTTATATAGAAAATACAAATTTTCGACAAAAATTATTAGAGACACGATTTTGGGTCAATGAAAATTTTAAAATTATGCAATGAAGAACCTAAATATTATTTTAAAATTATGCAATGAAGAACCTAAATATTATTTTAAAATTATGCGATGAAAATAAAATTATGCAATGACGCATGGTTAGGTTTTATTTGTATATGGGACATTCCACGTCAACACGGACAGAGCTCTAAACAAAAATTGCTTTGATGGATTTAAACGTTCTAGGGCTTAAAAGATTTCTACGTTCATGTACTTTAAGATGCCGATGGGCGTTTTTTGCAAAATTCCATTTCCGATGCCAATAGAACTGTCAAAAGTCAAAAGGTCCAAAAATCTCAAAATACTTTTATGAATTAAAAGCAAAAAACGAGGTAAATTATTCTGTAACTCATTCTTTATCAGTTTTTAGGGTTCCCGAATATAAATCTAAAGTTTTTTTTAAAAAATCCAAAATGGCGAATTCAATATGGCGGACAAAATTCAAATTTGATCAGATTCGATTAAAACTTGTTACTCGGGGGTTTTTAGGGTCGCTGATTACGAATCTGAAGTCACTTTTTAAAAATTCAAAATGGCGGATCCAATATGGCGGAAAAAATTTTTAAATTTGATCCGATTCCCTTAAAACGTGTTACTCGGGGGCTTTTGGGGTCGCAGATTATGAATATGAAGTTACTTTGTAGAAATTCAAAAAATGTCGGATCAAATTTTTTAATTTGATCAGATTTAATTAAAAAGTGTTACTCGGTGGTTTTTAGCGTATCTGATTATGAATTTGAAGTCTCAAACACAAAGTAACTTCATATTCATAATCTGCGACCCCAAAAGCCCCCGAGTAACACGTTTTAAGGGAATCGGATCAAATTTGAAAATTTTTTCCGCCATATTGGATCCGCCATTTTAAATTTTTAAAAAGTGACTTCAGATTCGTAATCAGCGACCCTAAAAACCCCCGAGTAACAAGTTTTAATCGAATCTGATCAAATTTGAATTTTGTCCGCCATATTGAATTCGCTATTTTGGATTTTTAAAAAAAAACTTTAGATTTATATTTGGGAACCCTAAAAACTGATAAAGAATGAGTTACAGAATAATTTACCACAACATTCGAGTCACACAAACCATGCTGGAAGCGGTCCATACGGCCAGACAAGGAAAATTACACCCTGGACTGATTTCATCTAAGCAGCTGGAGCCCATCCTACGTGACGTCGAGGATCATCTTACCGAAGTACAGTTCCCCTTACCTGGACCTGCAGTTAGTATCGAAGAATTGATACCGATCTCCACCGTCACCATTTTATGTGTTAATCGTCAATTAAAAATCCTCGTTGATATCCCTCTACTAGAAAAATACAACTATCAGGCATTGAAAATGCATCCCCTACCTACCATCCAAGAGGCAATAGGAAATAAAACGATAAGAGCTTATGTCAAGACCAAACATGACTATCTTATTGTTGATGAAGAGCAGCACACCTATCTTCTACTCACGGAGCGAGACTGGAAATCCTGCAAATCAACAGCATCATACCACGCTTGTTTGAACGGAATTCCCATCTACGATTTGAACGAGAGACCAGCCTGTGAACCATCGCTTTTAATTAATCCAACTATCGACAATCTAAGAACATGTGAGATTCAAATTACTGTTAATTCTGAGTCCTTCTGGAAGTCGTTAACTACTCTTTCCAGCTGGTTATATTCTTTTTCTAAGATGGAAGATGTAGTAATTATTTGTCATTCTATGACCCCTATCAAGATTAACCTTAATGGAACCGGTATCTTGAAATTGGCACCTGGCTGCATGGCAAGAACCCAGGACACAATAATCCCAGCAACTATTTCTCAAGTTGGACAAACAGAAATCATCTATGAACCCGACTTACATCTGAATTTGACTAAAATATCCCCAGTAATTCTCAACTACGGTCACTTGTTAACCATGACCAAAGACAACAATCAAAAGGAAGAAGTGGCTGATCTGAAATTTTCCACCTTCAGGGTAAACTCCTAAACATTGGATGAGCTGGAACAACAACTGGAGGATCTTGCCGTTAAAAGGCACATTGGAAAAAATCAAACAGTCCTTGTTTACTCATCTTATATAGGACTGTTGTTACTATGCATTCTCCTCATATTTTGTCTTTGTCAATTACGCACGAGAACAATAATCTCCAAATTGGTTGGTTTCTTGTCCAGAAAGTCAAAAAAGAGCCATATTGAAGTTTAAAGAAGAAGGAGAAGAAGAATCAGCCTGCCCGAGGACAAAATAGTCGAAGCACAGGAACCAACAATTTCAGGATTAACTCTAGAATCAAAAGAGTTATATTCTGTCATTGAGAGAGGAGATAAGTCTGCTACGTCCGAAGAGTTATCATCACGGAAGATCAGATGACTGACATCGCCCAGACCAAAACAACATCTCGAACAACTTCAACAGGTCAAGAAGGCAGAATTGAAAGATGCTCTTCGATCCACACGAGTATCATTCCTTGCCTCACCGAAGACCACTGTGAACATGCGGATTCAACTCCCAATACAGAAGCTCCAACCAGCGTAAAATTGATACCAAAAAAAAACATCCCAAGATCATATTCCCCCTTGATCTAAAATGAAAAGGAGGAGAGCAGGAAAGTTTTTATTAATCCCTAATTTTGAGCTCGTTTAAGGTAACGACTCTCATTTCTTTACATTTCGTCGAATTGAAGTTTTTACTTCTGTTAACGTTCGCCTAGAAGCTTTCGATTTTATTTTCGTCCGCTCAACTTGTTCTTATAATTTGGTTATAAAATCTAAGTTGATTGGTAAATGTATTGATTGACTTGCTCTCCGCCTTGACATTAAAAATGCCCCATGTTTTTAATTGACTAAGCTCGAGTGGACAAGAGGAGAAGGGAGGGCTTAAAAACCTAATAAGACTCCAATAATAATCAGTTGATTTTTTACTTGGGAACACATCGATGTTTCAAATAATCGATTTGCCCCGCCCTACCTTTCCCTCTCCTCTTTTCTTTTCGATTGTCCTGATTGGAAGATTATGTTTTCCTGAGAGGAGGGAGAAAAAGGCCCCCTTTTTGGTGCAAATCTATGTTTTAAAAGATCAGCCTCTTTATCCTCTCTGAAAACTGTTTCATAACCCCATTTTTACTATGACAATGAATTGATATTGTTCTGGTGAAAATAGGATAAAGTTAAAAAAAAGGAAAAATATATGTGCGATTTTTTTTACTCTTTAAGTCGAATGTAATTTTTATCCCTCCTATTTTCACCATGCCCCTTGCGATTATCTTGTAACGACCTATAATCATAACCCCCATTTTACTATGAATTGATATTGTTCTGGTGAAAATAGGATGGAGCCAAAAAAAAGAGAGAAAGGGAAAATTATATATATAATTTTTTTTAATACACTCTTTAAGGCGAACATAATTTTCATCCCTCCTATTTTCACCATGCCCCTTGCGATCATCCAGTAATGACCTACAATTATAACTCCGTCAACATCCATCAACAATGAAGATAAAACGGGACAAAACATAACCAATGAACCATATAATTTTCTAAAGCTACCTGAGTTCTATCAAAATAATTTCCTTTTAGGAAATAACAATTTACTTAAGAAATTACAATATAATTAAAATTTTACTTACGGTAGTTATTTTTTTTGATCAGCCTCCATAATGGATGAATTTAATAAAAACTTCAAAAAAAAACAAGCATATGCTCTCTTGGAAATTTTAAAATTGATTCATTTAATGCCAGTAAATTTTTTTTGCGCAAATTAAAGAAGAAATGAGAAAGCAGCATATGTTCTTTTTGAAAAATCTAAAATCGTAAAATTTTAATATTAATTGCTTTTCTTCTATCTTCAACTTCGAGCTCTATCTTCTATCCTCTTCGTTCTATCCTCCTGTCGCCACTACTTAATGTTTCCTTCCAATGATAAAAAAAAATGACTCGCATCTTCGCTGGCATCACCTACTTTGCTCTATAGGATTGCCCTGCCAATCGCATTAATAATTTAACACAATTCTGATTCCTATAATTTCATAGCACAAAATCTTTCCTCCCTAAAAAGAAAAATGTTTTTAATTTTTTTTATTTGTTTTAAATTAATGCGTGATTCATGAAGAATTCAACTAATCAACAAAGTAACTGTCATTTAATTAATTTCCGGTAAATAATAAAACTCCATGAACGGTTCAAATAACTTGTCAATACTTATTTATTCGCTAAAGTTTTTCGAATTTACAACGTAAAAAAAAATAAAGAGGATTTTTTTTACTTAAGACATAATTGAAAGAAACTCACAAAGCGGTCTACTCAGGTGGAAGGGAATCCTGTTATGTGGGTGGATTTTCTTTTTAACATTTGTCTAGGAAGAATTCTTCTCTATCGAAAGGAAATTCCTTTTAGTTATATTCTTAATTATTAAATGATTTTGTTCACTACTAAAAAAAAGGGATTTTTTTATTATTTCTTATTATTAATTGTTAAATTTATACTTTTTTTTAATTATTGTATAAAAAAATTATGTAAATTATCCTGGTATTGTTCGATAAATAGTTAAGCTTTTCAAATTATTTGACATGTCTACAATTGTCAAATCAATTGAAATTATTCCTTTCACAATGAGATTATTTTTGCCAACAGTTAAGGGACATTATTTGGAGGGATTGCTTTTATGGTGGATGGATTTCATGAGTGTATATGTATACTATTTAAAAAAAAGAGAAAGGATGTCTTAGGGACTACGGTTTCTCCTAAACCCCTAAATGTCGCGGAAGTCCCCCCCGGATGTCTGCCTCTCTTCGTCTAAGGAGGTAAGCCCTCCTCCTCATCTGCCACCGAGCCTGTCGCCCCTCCGCTAGTGAGCGATGGCCTATTGTCTCCCAGGCCTTGTCAACAGGAATATTATAACACTAAAAAAAATCTTTTATGAACTCACTGGCAACACGAATTCATGAACAAATTATTTAAAAGTTTGTTTTATTCATCCTCACCAACTGCCACCGGAATCTGAAGCATGTCATTTCTCCATTTATGGGGAGGAACTCTTCTATAAACGAAATGAAATATTCCTCCCGAACGGCATAGGCCCCAAAACGCGGTGGGTAACGGGCCAAAAGATCCTGCAAGAAACTAAAAAAAAAAGAAAAGAGAGACCTCGTCAATAGAGTTAAAACTCATGCATTAGTTCTAACTAACATTAAAAAAAAGGAAAAGGAAATTTACATACATTTCCTCCTCTTCAACACAATTGACTTCCCCTCCGACCATAATTTTCATGTGGCCATCCTCACTCTTTAGCATGGCCGGATCCCGGAAGGAGCTCTAAAAAAAATTTTTTTTAAGAGAGAGAAAGGGTAAATGGATAGATTGAAATTTTCCTTGTGTTAAAAAAAGGGAGAGAAAGAGAAAAGAATTTTAAGAAAAAAATCAATTATCTACCGTTGCCCAAAATCCCCTATGTAGGTATTCGCCTGTGCTTTTGCGCCAGAAATATTCCTGACGCCAAATCATTCGCGAATATGTCCTGGGCGGACTATTCCATAGCAGCCTTTCAATAAAACCCCATCCCAAGGTGGAATTTATCCGCTCGGGCGCTGGAACCCAGGGGCCATATTCTACTGCAATCCTAATAAAAAAAGGGGAAATTATTGGTGCACAGTCAAACACATTTAAGATTAACTACAATATGTTTTGGTCCATTTAACCCTCGGACCCGGCTCGAGCCCGCGAGGGTTAAAGAAATGATGTATTTATATAAACAAATAATACTATTCGATCAAAACAATGGACATCTTCTATACCGGAATTGAATTTACAAACTAATTTTAATTAAGCAAAATTTATTTAAAACTAGCAAGGATACACGCGCGCAAGCGCTTGTAAAATCTTCATTGCAATTGCTAAAAAAAATAATTATTATTTTTTTTTATTAATAATAATCAAATAATTTCAATAAAAAAAAATTTGCTAAGATGTAATTTTAATTGACAAACAATAAACTATAAAATATAGTAACAAAACTTAGATTTTGGAACGTCCTTAATAATTCACGGACCTTGATAGGCATGGCGTAGTAATTACGCGTAAAACTTTAAGCACATTCGTGGTAATACAATCACCCTAGAGTCAACTACAAGTAAAGAAAAAAAAAACAAGTATTAATTTTCAAAAAAAAAATATTTAAAACCTAAAAAGAAAAACAAAAGTATTTGTTCATACAATTTGCACATATAATTCAAAATTTTTATTATATCACTTGTATAGAGTTAAAAAAAATGATTTAATTTTAATATAATATACAATACGATCTCAAGTTTCAGTTTATTAATTTCTTTGACAATTTACTGACATTAAAATTATTTTCCCTATCAAAAAAAAATTCTTTTAGAGGAAGATATGAATTCTTTCGAAAAATGAGTAAATGATGCCTATACTATTTAATTTAATTAAATAATTAAATAAAATTTAAATAAGAGAATAAATAATATTTCACGAAATAATATTATGTCTTATTTCATACGTGTCAAACATTTTATAATATAAAAATGAAAATTCAATAACACAAACGTGAAAATTTAATAACGTGAATTTCAATTCTTTCTTAACGGTGTACGCTATTGGAAAGTTCTGTTGTGATTTTGCAACGAAAGTATAAGAAAGAACTATCCAACAGGGTGATGATGTGAATCTACTTTTCCCGAAGTGCTGCGAATTCACAACATGATCTGTTGGTTTTGCAGCATAGTCTTATTAATGTGAAGTCCTATAAATTTACAGTATTTATTTGCTGCGGGATTGCTATATTATGTACTGTCATTTTGCAGTGAACTGTTTCTCAATTACAGTTGGAATTTGTTTTTATTCGTTATGAATATTTTCTATTCAAATTGTAAAATCTTCCTACCTAGTTAGAAACTTAATTCTCTTCCGCGATAATTTACAACATTTAGTAATTAATTAATAAGATTTCATATATTATTTTATCTTATTACACAATTACAG